CATCCGAGTGTTCAATGCTTTATCTGTCCCCCTGCCCCTACCCCATCTTCCACACTAGGAGCAAGGAGCTGTTCCCGCGCTCCCACCCAGCCTCCGGCAGAGCCAAAACACTATGAATGTGACCCACCTGTGCTCCCAGAAGACAGGCAAGCCGGGGACCAAGGCTGACCGGGCTCCCTGGCCGGCAGGTCCATTCCAGAAGACTCGAGCAGCGCAGAGACGCGACGGGGCTGGGGGCGCTGGCGTCGCCTCTGCCCCAGCGGGGAAGCGGTCTCTCCTTTGTACTGGGAACCATGAGTCACCATCACTGCCTGGTGTGTGGTTGGGGCAAGGAGGGAGATGCGGCTAGAGACACCTCACTCTCACTTCCTGGGACTGGAGGTGAGCCGCCGTCCAGGGGAGCTGCCCCCCTCAGCGTTCAGGGACTCCCCGACCCCGAGACCATCTTCATGCCCAAGTGACAATGCCAAGATGACATTTATTACCCTCCCAACCCCCCGGGCTGTTTTTAGGGCTCCCCATTGGATGACAGAGGCCCGACTAGGCCCTCAGCATCCTCTCCCTGCCTTCCCGGTTTGCAAGTATGGTGGAAAGGGCGAGCGATGGCTCATGCAGGGGTTGTGGGGTTACTGGGCTGGTGTGCAGAGTGGAGGGGCCTCCTCCTCTCTTCCTCTCCCTCTCTTCTCATGGTGAGGGGAAAAGGGGGGGTCACAAGCCCCAGATCAGCAAGGAGGGGCAGCGGACGCAGACCCTGGAGACCCCCCTCCCTCACCAGACCACACACATGTCAGGATACAGGACACAGGGCACAGGGTACAGGGCATGGGGCAGGCAGCTGGAGGGCTCCCCCTGGGCCGGAGAACTGCAAGAGCCAGCTTGAACCCTCAAACCCCTGCACCTGGCAGGGGCCCCCGGAAGGAAGGAGGCAGTTCCAGAGGTCGCCGAGCTGGGGCAAGTCACCCTCGCCCTTCTCTGCCCCAAACGTGGCCCACATGTCCCACAGGCGCCGGCTGGCCACAGCCTGCAAGGGGGGTGGTTGGCAACCGAAATTCGTGACCTCTTGCCATCCTGGGCCCCGTCTGCCGTCAGGGATCCTGTTTCCCCTCCGCTTCCCACCCTCCGCTGGACGGAGCTCCTTGGGGTGGGGCTTGGGGACGTCCAGGCGGCGCCCGCGTGCATATTTCAGGCCAGGCCTTGGCGGGTGCCCGTCCCCTCACTCCCCAGGTCGTGGGGGGCAAGCAGTCGCTTTGGGGAGACCCCTCGGGGGTGGGGGTCCCCAGCCATCGGGGGCTGGGGCAGCCCAGGACCCGGGGCAAAAAGGCTTTTCCGGATCCTCGCCCCTGACAGGCGGGAAGGGGCTCGGGAGGCCCGGGGCGAGCGGGTCAGCCGCGCGCAGACGGGGACCCCGGCGGAAGGGCGCCTTGGAGCCGCGGGGAGGGGAAGGAGCCCGCTTACCGGCTCGCACGGGCCCAGCTACCGGCAGCTCCACTCCCGCCGCACGGCTTCCTGCGGCCCGGCCTCCCGGGGCGGAGGTGGCAGGGCGCCGGGCGGGCGGCCCCGGGGAGGCGGGCGCAGGGCGCGGGGGGTGGGACCACCTCGGAGCCGCCGGGGGTGGCGGGTGGGGGAAGGAGGTCTGGCCTGGAGGTGGGAGGGCGCGGCGGGGCGTGGCCAGGGCCGGCACCCCTAATCTCAGCCCGGTCCCCTCCTCCGAGTGGCGTGGACCGTCCAGCAGCCGGGGCGGAAGCCGGCTGGGCGGGGTTCATTTGTATGTCGTTAGCATGTAATTTGCATAGACCATATGCTCACTCTTCAGGACCCCAGGGGAGGGAGGGAGAAAGCGGGTGATGAAGAGGCTCCATCTCCCAGCGGGAAGGGGAAGGGAAGCCAGGATGGGGGACCCCTTCTCTGAGGGCTTTGGCTGCCCAGGGGTCCTTCCGATGCCAGGCCCCTCTGTCCTCGCCCCCAGCCAGCCAGCCCTCGATATGCATTGTTTAACGTGTGACTACTACCAAGTTACAGTAAGTCAGACAGTGTAGTCCCGGCACAAGGACGGACACAGTGGGTCCAATGGGATAGAGTTGATTTTCCACACCAGAGCTGAGGTCCAATGTGGGGAGCGGAGTCTTTTCAGTAGATGGTTCCAGAACAATCGGGTATCCTCGGCTGGGCTTCTACACCGCACCATGTAAAGAAGAACATAAAAAGAATCATAGTTGGAGATGTGAGACCTCAAGCTATAAAACTCTTAGAAGAAAGCATGGGAGCAAATCTTCAGAACCTTAAATGAGGCGACGGATTCCTACATGTGACACCACAAGCACAAGTGACCAAGGAAGAAACACAGAAATTGGACGTCATCACGAGACGAAAGGACACCACCAGGGAAGCGTAACTCTCAGGATGGGAGCAACGATTTGCATCTGATAAGGGACTTCTGAGAACGCTTCCAACTCAGCAATGAAAAGACAGGCCCAGTAAAAAGTGGGCAAAGGATCTGAGTAGCTGTTTCTCCAAAGCAGATGTGCAATTGGCCAACAAGCACATGAAAAGATGCTCAACACCCTTATTCATCGGGGAAATGCAAATCAAACCCACAAGGACATACCATTTGCCACCCACGAAGATGGCCTCACGTCTGGGAGTGTCACAGAGACGATACGTCTTAGACATGTCATCGCTGTGCCTGTGGTTCATTTTTTTTTTTTTTTGGCCAACTTCCTCAGTGCCGGGGCTCGCTCTGACACGGGAGGGTATTCAGTTTAACTTGAAGGTGTCTGGATATAAACATTGGGCGTGTTGTGGGCAGTTAGGAGCTTCCTCGCCCCGTGGACCTGTTTCCCCAGCACTTAGCATGGTGCCTGGCACAGGCTGATAACTGTCACAATGAGGGTCGGCATGTATGGAGCTGTCCGGGTTCTGGCTCATTGGCTGAATGAAGGAATGGGGATAGCCCACCCAAGTCGCTCCCCCATTCCTGGGTCCTCACACCCCAACCCCAGAGCCTGGGGTCCTTTAAAGTATTGAATTACTTGAAAGCTCCAGGATGGGCTCCTGGTCCCTCTGCCTCTCTCTCCAGCTCTTGGCCTGTGCTGTGAGCCTCTGCGTCCCTGGCATAGCCAGAGTGCCCTCTGCTGGCACAACGGCGACAAGGTCTGTTCTGCTCTCCGGGATGCTGGGCGGCTGGGCCCTCCGCGCCGTCCCCTTCACGGCGCTTTTCTCCTTCGCTGTTCTTCCTCCATGTCACCCCTCTGCCCATTTGCCCAGGCGGGTGGAAGCTTGTCAGTTGGCCCAGAGGCCGAGGCTGTGCCACCAGCTGGCTATTCCCCCCAAGGCCCCCTAACTCAGATCTGGTGGGCAATCTGTCCCAAGACTAGTCATAGATGCTGGTTGTGATGTTGGGGGACCCACTCCCCCCACCCCCACTCCACTCCAGCCCCCACCTCCTGGGTGGGGGGGGTGGACAGAGATGTCCTGATCTGTCCCAGTCAGGGGCAGCAGGTTACCTGATGCTGGGGAGCAGGATACGGGGAAACCATAGGGGACCTCCTGCCCCCTGATTTGGGGTTGTCCCTGAGCTGAGCCCTGCCCATTTCAGGGATGTGGGAAGGGGCGATGGTCATAAATCCAGGCAAGTGGACGCTCCTGGAACTACAGCCTGGGCACAGCCCTCACTCCAAGGGCCCCTTGCCCCGTCCTAGCCTAGGAAGAGGCTGCTCTCATGGCTTTGGGGCTCCCCTCTTCCTTCTCCTGCCTCCTCCTTCTCAGCTCTCTTACCTGGGCTCTCTCCCCAGCCCACTCCCTCCCTCTGGAGCTCCAGGCCCATCTCCTTGAGATTTTCCCCGTCTCACTGTCCCCACACGCCCCTCACCCTCACCCTCTTCGGACCGGGCCCCACCTCCACTCTTTGACTCAGTCAAGGGCCTCATCTTCCTCTCCAGCTTATCACCCACTCTTCCCCGTGCTCCCGTCTTATCTCTTCCTGATGCTGGGCCGCTTCGGGCCCACGTGGCCTGGACGCTGAGCCCGATAGGATCTCCCTGCTCAGCCTCCTGCCGGGCCCACCAGACTCATCCTCCAAAAGCTTCTGCTTTTCGGGGGCTGTTTGTGCCTGGGCGGGGCTCTGGTTTGCACACCCACTTCCCACTTCCCGTTCCTTCAGCCCATGTGCCCGACAGCCCACGCATAGGACTCATCTCCCCGCCCGCCACCACCCCACGTGCGTGCCTTCGCCTCACCTCCAGCGTCTCCCTCTCACTCCGGCTGACCCTGGCTCCCAGGCCACACGTGGTCCTCCCCACTCCAGCCGCCCTCGTGCCCTCCCGCTGTCCTAACACACACTGGGTCAGCCACCCCCTGAGGGCCTCCAGAATCAGGTCCCATTCCTCCCGGGCTCTCATCGCCCACCGTCTGCTCTGCCCCGATCCATGTCTGGTGTGGGATGGCTCCTTTGTCATCTCTTCCCTGAACGGGCTTTATCTCAGTGCGTGGCTGGGAAGTGTTCCCTCACCCACCAAGCTACTATCTTGCTTCTCCCCGCATCCTCCATGGGGAGCCCTGTGCCCGGCCCACAGAGCTACTCAGGGGGCTTTTGTGTAACATCGGAGCAGGCTGAGCAGAAATCTAACCATCCCGTCCTCTCCAATGTGAGTGAATACTAAAGCAAGAAGTCACGCGTCCTCTAGGCCGGCAGATCCGGTCAGGGTAGGAGGTTCAGCTTCAAGGAGCACGTGCTGGAGGAGCCACAGCCTCCAAACGGGTGCCCTTGGGCTTCCGGCGCTTTGACCGTGGCTTGTTTTGGCAAAGGGGGCGGCCCCAGGGATGTTACTCACGTTGCGCTTCAAATGTGGGTGTGCGTGCCCACACTGACCACAGGGACGTCTGCGGCAGGGCTGCTCTGAGCTCTGCAGGACATTTGGGGTCCCTGGCCCCTCCCCCTGGCCCAGCTACTAAATCCCACCAGTGCCCCCCAGACCTGTGACACCCTCAGCGAGGAGGCGAGTGAGGCAACTGCCTGGGGCTCAACATTTTTTTTAAAATATATTTTATTGATTTTTTACAGAGAGGAGGGGAGAGGGATAGAGAGTTAGAAACATTGATGAAAAACATCGATCAGCTGCCTCTTGCACTCCCCCTACTGGGGATGTGCCCGCAACCAAGGTACATGCCCTTGACCGGAATCGAACCTGGGACCCTTGAGTCCGCAGGCTGACGCTCTATCCGCTGAGCCAAACCGGTTAGGGCTCAACATTTCTTTTGTAAAAATGTTTTTTATTGATTTCAGAGAGGAAGGGAGAGGGCGAGAGAGATGGAAACTTCAATGATGAGAGAGAACCATTGATCGGCCGCCTCCTGCACACCCCACACTGGGGATCGAGCCCACAACCTGGGCACGTGCCCTGACCGGGAATCGAACCGGTTCATAGGTCGATGGTCAACCACTGACCCATGCCGACTGGCTGGGGCTCAAAATTTACAGAGATGCCAACAACACTCAGTAATCAAGAGACACAACGCAACCTTTAAAGAAATGAGATCAACAAACCATGGCCAGTGGGCCGGCCACCTGTTTGCCAATGACATTCTGTGGGAATCAGGGCCATTGTCAGAGCAAGGGGTCTGGGGCAGGTGGTGCAAGTGCCCAGTCCGGTCTGACCTTTATTTATAATTTTGTTATTCTGTCCATCGTGACATTTGCATTCATTTGATTTTGTAAAATGTGCATTAAAATTACTGTTAGAGAAAAATGCAAAAACACAGCCTTGGCCAGTGCGGCTCAGTTGGTCGGAGCGTTGTCCCCTACACCAAAGGTGGCCGGTTTAATTCCCAGTCAGGGCACAGACCCAGATTTTGGGTTCAATCCCCGGTTGGGGTTCATACCAGAGGCAACCAAATGATGTTTCTCTCTCTTAAAAAAAAAATCAATAAAAATAAACTAAAAATAAAAAAAGGAAATGCAAAACATTACCCAATCCTTTTGTAAGAAATAACACGGAACATGGTTTAGTGAAATAACCCTTGGAGACAGATTAGTTTACAGCCTGTTTGGATTCACATTAAACAAAATAGTCTTTGCAAGCCAAGGCAGGAGCAGGAAGGCAGAAGTGTGGGGGGCGTTCCAGGGTCAGGCCCCTCCCTGGTCTCCCCACAGCAGGGGGAAGGGGAGGGATAGGGCTCCCTGGTATGGATTATCCAAGACTACAGGCTGATCTTGCACCCGAAGGTCCCCCTCTATATGGGCCCCCATGAGACACATGCTGAGTCATGAGCAAAGGACGCTGGCCTTTTGCTTTGCTGGCCAGCCTCGCCTGCTTCCCATTTGGCTTTTTGAAATACTAGCAATTATTTCAAAATGATTTCTATCACTGTGGACGCCTATGGGCCTAGGAACTCCAAATGAGAAAGGCAACGACATCCCTCTTACACCGGATGTGGTTTCAGCCTGTGTCCCAGGGTGTCATGGTGCCAGCATCACACCCCACCCCATCCTGGGACTACACGTCCCTCAGAGCCAGAAGGTGAGGGTACACCCCTGTCCTTGGGGAGGACTCTGAGACCAGGCAGCCAGCAAGAGCAGGCCCTGTCCCTTCTCAGCATTCACTACCTCCACCCCATGATGCAGAGGCCTGCAGCCCCTTGAAGCAGGGACTGTGAAGATTTGGGGGTGGAGAGGCGAGATTTAGGCATTTTGGTGTGAAAGGTTTTTCCTGAATATCGGGGAAGGTTTAGATTTCATTCCTACCCATCACCAGGTAGCGGCCCCTGGGGAAAGTGATTGGAATTGGTGCAGGGAGGAGGGTCAGCGCGAGAGCCCAGCCAAGGTTGCTCAGAGGAGCCGAAGGGCGCCCACCCCTGCCAGACCACAGAGTAGGCCCCGCAGCCTGCTCCAGCCGGCTCCTACCGAGAAGTGGGGGTCACTTACTTCTCCGAGAACAGAGAACAGGCCCTGGGGGTGGAGTTCAGGCACAGCCCGGTGGTCCCGAAGGAGTTTCTCCTGTGACTTGCCTCATGTCCTCTTCAGAGCCAATCATTAACCCCCGAGAGCCCCCACTTGAGAGGCCACGGGAACAAGCGGCTGGTTGAGGCTGGAAATGCAGAGGTGGCTTCTGCAGAGGGGCCGAGTCCCCAGTCCCGCTCCTGCCAGGGTCGCAGGGCAGTGGCCCGACCGGGGTCCAGCCTGGCCTCTAGTCTGCAATGAAGCCAGTAACCCAGACAGAACTCCCCCCTCCCCCAATGTAAGGTGCCACCTCTCAGTCTGGCCACCCGGCCCAAGCCCCACCCACTCTCAGGCCACAAGGCCTTTAGGGACAGGTACCTGGTGCGAGTGGCCAGGACTAGCCTGGAGAACCAAGGCCTGAGTCCCAGGGACAGTCCAGCCTGGTTCAGAGCCCTTCTCCTGTGGCTCTGGGGACGTATGGGTCTGCCTGTTTTCTGGGATTCCCAGACCCTGTTTCCCTGGATAACCCGTCATCTCAGACAGCAGCTCAAATATCACTTCCTCCAGGAAGCCCGCCCTGATTTCCCCACCAGGCTGGTTCTCCAGTTCTTTCTCCTCCTGGCACATCTACCCCTCCTCTCGGTCCTTCCCAGGAGTGTGTGTTTCTATTGATTTCAAGCAGGAGTTGGCACCCTTTGTCTATAAAGGGCCCAACGGTAGCTGTTCGGTTTTGCAAGCCAGCCGGTCTCTGTCACTACTACTCGCCTCTGCTGGGTGACAGGTTCGCGGCCCACCCTCACCCCCCAGCCAGGGGACCCCGCGGGGCCAGCCAGCGCTGGAGTCCAGCTTTATTCGCCACCACCTACACCTGCTTGAGCGTGACCAAGGCGCCGCTGCTGACCATGACCGCGGGGTAGAGCGGCTCCAGGAAGGAGGCGAGGAAGCGGTAGAGGAGGCTGACGCCGCCCGCCACGCCGTAGAAGGACAGGCAGCCGGCGCCGCAGTCGAGCGCCACGCCGAGCGTGCGGTGGTAGCCGCCCTGCAGCACCGTCTGCGTGTTGTTGTGCCACACGGAGAAGCGCAGTGAGTCCCACTCCAGGCACCACGAGTCGGGGTTGCGGCCCAGCAGGTAGACGACGCTGCCGCGCGGGCGGCCGCTGGGCGGGGGGCTGCGCTGTAGTTGACGCCCAGGCACACCCCCCAAGTTGGACCACCTTCGCCTTTCCCAGTAGTGGCGGCCCTTCGGCAGGGCGGCGGGAGGCCCAGCACCCTGCGGGCCACCTGGTTTGAAGCCGGGCAGGCGGCCCCCCGCGGGGAAAGGGCCTCCGGGGAGGCCCCCCAGGTTTCCGCCCCGGAGTGCGTCTCCTTTAAACGGAAGGGCCCCCTCCTTGGCCCCGGGGGGGTCGAAATTCAGGTTGCAGAAGCCTGGGGGCGGGGAAGGGGGCGACCGGAAGGGTCAGGGTCCCAGGCCCCGGCCGAGAACGCCAGGAGCCTCCCCCCAGCTCCCAAGAATGCCCCCCTCAAACCGCGTTAAGCCCCCAATTGGGGGGGGGGG